GCTTTCCGTTTCGTGCCCACCGCCGACGCCATCCTCCGATTTCTTGGACTCCCTCGGGTTCCTTGGCTTCCTTAAGTAAGAACAATCTCGTCTCTCCGGCCGCACCGTCGAGCGCCCCAGCGTTCCGGCAACCAAAGGCCCTTTCTCTCCGAAGTGTGGCCATATGATCCGTGGAGATGAAGGCACTGGCGGCTTACGGGCGGAACGTATGACACTCATCCCGTCCGAAAACCAGCACTGCATCCTAGTGACTTCGAAGCTACACTGAGCCATCCCCACTACTACATAGTCCCGCTGATAATTGTTACCGCAACCTAAACGCATTCAAACCACCGTTTAACGGCTTACGGGAGGGAACTCTCATTTTGCAGCGGCTCCGCCTTTATTTTTGAGCAACCGGTGTCGGTTCCTTGTTCTTGAGTAGATTCTCCCAATCCGATACGACCTGATTTATCGCCACTTTCTGTGATTCCCTATTGTCCTGATTGTTCATGACTGTCTTCTGTCCGTCATTGATCCTTTTCACCATGAAGCCCACCACCTTTGACATCAAGCCATCTGCTTTGAACATTGTTTTCTGAACCGTCAGGAGAACATTCATATTGTTCGGCGATAGAACTTCACTTCCGTACTTTCGATTTTCTATATGGACATCCAGCACTTGTTCGGGCTCCCCCAATTTTGGCTTTTCTTTGACGATCCACAATGACCGTGGTGGAAAAGGTATTCTCGTTGCAACATCGATGTTGCCCTGCTCAGTCGCCTTACGTACGTTTGCGAAATAGTTGTCCCACAAATCTCTTGATCTGTCGAATCTTCTGGCCATGGTCATCACATCATTGAAAAGAAAGACCAAAGTAGCGGTTGTGATTTCTGGTTTGTTGCCATCCTCTCGCATCTTCTGAAGGAAGTCATTGGGTTTAAAGGAACCGTCTTCACCCTGCGGAAGTACTTCGGCACTATCGACCAAAGTCGCGTTGTTCATTTTCATCGTGATGACATCCACGTCTCCGTACCGTTCCACTATTCTAGTACGCAAGCTATCCTGTCGTGCTTGAGCATCAAGATCTCCTCTCTTCCTAGGCTGCTCTGCATCTTCTTGGTAGTGCTTGAGCATGGCCTCGTGATAGGAAGTCACGTTGTGGTAGTCATAGGTGGTGCCACCCTTTTCCAAGTGGTCTAGTATGTCCTCCAAGGCGTAAAACATCACGATAGTGTCGCGAATCTGCATTTTCTTGAAATCACTCAAAACCTTAATAATCGGGGCTTCTCGATTCTGGCTTTGGGTATTCTGTGCGACTTTTTGAGCTTTTGTCGGGATTTTTCGTTCGTTATACCTCACGACGACTCGATCCACCAACTTCTCCGTTTCGGGGTATGTTTCCGAGAGCTTTTTGAATGCTTCGTCCGCGGTCCACAACCTCTCAGGCAAAGGGTACTTTCGCGCAGGATTGGCTAGCAGCATAGCTCCCAGCATCTCCATTATCGAATTCTTGAAAGGCATAGGACCCTCTGGTCGTGACACTCGCAACAAGTTAACGAGTATGTGCGAATAGATCACACAGTACATCATATACTCCTTCGAAACACGTTTCAGCCAGTTCATGATGACGTTCTCAGCGTTCAACTCGTTCTTCAACGCCTGGTAAATCTCGTCGATATTTAGATTGTTGATGACAATCGGTTTGCCGGATTTGTCCAGAACGGGCCTGACATTTTCGAGCTTCAGATCGAACGTTTCGAGGATCTGAGGTCTACCTTCCGCCGCCCATGCATCCCGTAGATTCCGAAGAACGCCAATAATATCAAATAAAGCCCACATGTCTTTCATGAAATAGGTAGACATGTTGAGAATGTAGTCGGTCATGGTGTTTTTTGCCTGGATTTTCGCTCTCTTCTCGGCCTCTGCTTGGAAAGGGTTCGTGCTCAGACCGGACACCTGAAACCACGCACCGTTTTCGACCTCCGGATTCGCAATGAATTGAAGCCTCCATAATACTTTCAATCTATCCCAATTTTTCCGTTTAAAAACGCCGGTCGTCGAGATCTGGTCCACCTCCTTGTGCGTCAACTCGAGAGGCATCCCTCTATTCAGCGGCCCTCCTCGACCTGGCTGCGGTGGCGGCGGCGGTGGGCCTCCCTTCCCTCCGGGCGGGGGCGCGGGGCGGCGGTGGGCCTCCCTTCCCTCCGGGCGGCGGCGGGGGCGGCGGAGGCCCTCCCTTCCCTCCGGGCGGCGGCGGGGGCAGCGGAGGCCCTCCCTTCCCTGTTCCTGACTCGATTCTGGGCGGTGGAGGCGGCCGATTGAACCGGCGTAGGGTACCCCAGGGGTCAGGGCCGTCTCGCGCTCCCGCATATACCAAAGCCACATGTGTGGGGTTGAGAGGGTCTAGCGGATACAAATGAACTACGTCTTTTTCGTCATCGTCCCTCTGGCACGCAGAGTTCTCGCAAAACTTGAAGTGCGAACCCGCACCTATCTCGTATCTTGTTTCAACACTCAACTCCTTTACTGAGCTTCCTATCGTTGATTGCTTCTGGGACGATAGTTCGATAATAGGCTTTGGTGCTTGCGGTGGGGCTTTCTTTGGCTCGGGAACTGGCGGCCTTTCAGTCTGCAAAGGGGGCGATTGTCTGGGTCGTGGTTGTGGTGTGGTTTGTGAGAGCGGCACACTTTCTGGTGTCGCTATCAATTTCGCTCCACTGGTTTGGGGCTCTACGTGTATTGGATCCTGGGGGGTTGATTTTTTCGCGGCTTTCAGATCTTTCAGCTCCGCCACTCTCTTGTCTAACTCACGCCGTAGTAATTGAGCTCGCATGGTACACCTGATGAATTTTTTCGTCCAAGCGATACCCAGAAACCGTTTTTGCGTATTCAGCAATTTGTCCACGTCTTCCAACTTCATGTCTATATCTTCCGGACGAATATTTTTGCGTATAGCCGCATCTTCGTCCGGCGGCATGTTCTCGTCATCAAGATAGTATGCGCGACCGGCATCCGGGTATAGATTCATGTAATATCTCAAAGCCACGGATCCAGCAACAGCAGCCGCAACTCCCCCGAGCGCGAGGACCAGCGCCGGACTCATGGACGGGATTAATCCCAAGACTTTCGTGACACCCGAGACTGCGTTCGACGACGCGAGCTGAGAAAGTTGTCCAAGGCTCAAAAAGCCCATCGCTGGGAGGACGCTCTCAGCCGTGCTGATCGTAGTACCCACGGTTGCCGTCGATACTCCTGCTGCAATCTGTGGGATCCCAACAGCCAGAAACTGCGAGGCGGCCGAGGACCATCGGACGGTGGCGATCGGAGACGTGATCCTCGTAAATTCCTCCATAGCAATGGGCAATGTTTGCGTCGCCATCGGTGCTCCGCGTCCCATGAGGGTCTGCAAAGCCGAAAAGGCATTCGGAACGACTCTTGTAGCGGCGGCCGTGAACTCTGAGAACTGTGTCGCTGAGATTGGGACAGAACTCCGGGTCAAAGGCACACCGATAACTGCTGGCGACGATCCATGAGCGAATTGCCGAAATTGGTGCGCTAAGATCGGCACGGGGCTCCCGGCCGAAGTCACGACAGGCGAGAAGCCGTCCATCGACGCAATAGCGGACCGCAAGGCCCACAAGGAGGTCGCTGAAACATTGGCACTCAAGGCCAACAAGCTGGACACAGGTTCGTCGATGGGGACTTCTGTGGCGAATGTCAGTATTCTTGGGACGTTAGCTGTCGTGATATCGTTCACCGCACTAGTTCCGAGGTCTAAGAGACGGCCTCCTAAGAGGCCCTTCAACACTCCGGCACTCACGGCTTGGAATCCAGCTAAAGCAAGACCGGACATGACGGCGAGCTTTGCGACATCGAGGTCCGTCGGTCTTCCGTGTCCCGCTTCTTCTCTCCGGTCCTCTTTCGGCTTCTCCTCGTGTAATACTTCCCGAGGTTTCCCGGAATCGGCCGCGTGAAACGAATCGAAGTCCGGGACGGGTATCCCCATTTCTATTTCAAGCGGGGTTCTCTCATAAACAACCCGATCCGATTTTGAGACTTCGATTTCTGGCGGAATATCCTTGTCGCGATGCTGCCAGCAATACTTCGATTGCCCATGCACGTGCCGCCCGCACTCTCTTCCGGATGACGTCGCATGCTTACAAACATGCATGAGTAGACTTCTATATATCCACGACGATTTTTCATTCTGCAGGAGGAGGAAACGCGACGGACTTGCGCCAATATTCTTTATACCAAGGATATACACCGATGGCCTCGAGCATAGCAATCTCGTTGCTATACGGAGTACATGTGAGGTATTGCCACTGCCCGGCTTATCGTCAACCCGTATGCACCGGCACGAGAATGTACGCCAACGAATGTTTCGCGAGGTGTAGAGGAGAACATACATTTCATCGATGTCAAACGGCGCCACCCGTTCGTGCAGCGGACAAACGTCCTGTCGAAAATAAGTCTAATCCTGCTCCAGCCTGCAGGGCTTCTTTCGAGGACGACGACACTTCGGGCGAGTTGACTGCATCTCTGCGACGGTAGCTAACAGCAGCAACGGGCAAAATACACAGCAATAGACGGAGCAGAACTCCACTCTTTCCGTAGACAGCAGCGGACTGCCGCAGCCACGGCATCCACCGGCCTGCGATCCGTTCGAGGTGTCCCTGGTGCGACGCCACAGAAAGACGAACGTGCGACCGTCGACGGTGTACTCTTCGATAACTTTTAGAGGAAGGGAGAGACGCTCTTCGAATGCTCCAAGCTCGTCGAGTCTGACGGCTTCGCCGCCCGGAACACGGCGGATCGTGACGACCGCATGTAGAGGGTGGTGCTCGTAGGCTCCGGCATCGCAACAAGCTTTTTCGCAATCGGTGCAATAGAAGCGTCTAGTAAAGCCCGGGTGTAACGAACACGGCGTAAGGAATCCGGGAGTGGAAAGAAGAATAGCCATCTGGAATGAGCGGGGATATCGACCCAAACCTCTTATGTAGTGCGCTCGGTCCGACTTGTCCACGAAGAGTCGGTTCATATTTTCCTCGTTACTTGTACCAGTCACCATGAGTGCGACGGATACTTTCAAGCGTCTGTTGGTTGCCTTATTGATAATCGCCGTCTTGTGTGGTATCGGCTACGGCATCTACTATGCGGTGACTTCATCGAAGAAGTCCTCAAGTGCACCCGTCGCGGCGAATGCGACGCCCGCAGCCACGGCGCCTCTTCCGGACACATATGCAACGCACGTGACGGCGTTCGATGACGATGGGGGAGGAAACATGCGATTTTTGGAACGACAGAACGTGGACTGCTTCGTTGACTCTCAAGTCAACGGTGGATTGAACTCTTTCGTTCTAGTCCAACAAGCGCCGGATTCTGGAAAGGTACAATATAGTTACAAGTGTTCCTCGAGCACCGACTCCGTCACAAAGGACAAGTGTAGACGTGTCTCCACTGCCAAGGATCAAGATGGTGCCGGGAGCCCCGAATATCTCGACCGGCAAGTGGTGGCTTGCAACACGGGAGAAGAAATCTCTCAGTTCAAGCTGACGCAGCCCGATGGGCCTGATAAGGGCACGGTCCGCTACGATTACACATGTTGTCCGACGCGCAAGAACACATGCAGAGACGTGACTACGGCCAAGACACCATTCGGCTGGGGAGCGTTGGGCATCGTACCGAAAGGTGCCGTGGGGTATGGTCCGGCAAAGGCGAACGTGCGATTTTTGGAGCAACAGAACGTAAAATGCAACGACGGCGAAGTTCTTCGCTCATTCCAGCTGACACAACCGGGAGGTCCTAGCTCGAATACGCTCGCCTACAAGTACACGTGTTGTTCATAGATTCAGAACTCGTCTCCTGCGAAATCATCGCTCGAGTTGGCACCGAGCCGCTCCATCACTCCTGCCTTCTGGTAACTGCTGACCCTCGACTCGAAGAAGGAGGTCTTGCTCTCCACGCTGATGAACTCCATCCAATCGAACGGATTCTGGACGTCGTAGGCCTTCTCGTGCCCGAGGTCCACGAGCAGCCTGTCCGCCACGAATTTCACGTACTGACCCATCAGAGCCGCGTTCATTCCGGCCAGGTCGCAGAGGGAGTCGCGCACAAAGTCGATCTCGATGTCGACGGCGTCCTTCACGATCTTCAGCACCCGTTCGTTCGAGAGGCGCTCTTCTCGCGGAAGTTCCTTCGAGTACAGGTGGCATGCGAAGGCCGTATGTAGCGCTTCATCTCGCGAGATGAGCTCGTTCGAAAACGTGAGTCCAGGAAGCATGCCCCTCTTCTTCAGCCAGAATATGGCGCAAAAGCTCGCCGAAAAGAAGATGCCTTCCACGCAGGCGAAAGCGATCAGCCGCGTGGCGAAGCTCGAGTCCTCTCCGATGTACTTCAGGGCCCACTGTGCCTTCTTAGCGATGCAGGGTACCGTGGAGATCGCTTCGAACAACGCCTCCTTCTCCGCGGCATCCTGGATATAGTAGTCGAGCAATAATCCGTAGGTCTCTCCGTGAATGTTCTCCATTGCGGCCTGGAAGTGGTAGAACATCCGCGCCTCCATCGCTCCGACCTCGTTGGAAAACCGCAGCGCGAGGTTCTCCACGACGATCCCGTCCGCCGTAGC